ATAATGTATGAAAAACAGTGCAACAGGACGCTAAAATACAAAATTATATATATATATATATATGTGTGTGTGTGTGTGTGTGTGTGTGTGTGTGTGTGTAAAATTAAGTAACAAGCATGCATTGATAGTTTAATGTTCTATTTTACTGGTGGATCAGTTCTTTTCTGGAATTTCGTCGAAGTATGGTCTGTTGGGGTATATAAAGTGTATTATGCTATGCTGAAGAATTGTTTATATTGTGGATGCGATGTAGTATGCCAGTACGTAGTTGTTGGTACCGTGTCTGCTGGAAGCAATGAATCTCGGATGTGTGGTGGAGTGTAAGTTGTGTCCTAGTTGATACTTGGCGCCGAGGTTTGTCATAGGTACGGAATGCTTAGTTGGAATTACTGGTTACTGTTGTTGCATCTACGAAGCTGGTTCATGTCTCCTATTCTGGGTCCGGGATATAGCTAGTCGGAGTGCTGGAAGGTAACTGAGAAAGGCTCATGCGACCGTAATGTATTGTGGTCAAATAAGACAATAAAATCGATTAACCTATCAACATTTTATTAAAATTGAATTTACGGCGTTGTTCTATCGACAGCTATAATGACTCGATTCAGCAACACAACAGGATGTAAAAAGACCAATTTGACCACTTTGAAGGATTAAGTAAGGACTTGTAAGACAGGACATGAACATCACTGGTCCGTACGTCAGATATTTACGTCTGAGTTGTAATCTGACCTTTGATTTGTCCTCTTCTTTACTTTCGTTGATGGTTTTAAGCTGACAAATAATTTCTCCAGCCATTGTCGCCTTGATATTATTTTCCAACCCCGAATTTCGTAGTTTGTCCAAAGCTTCATGGAGTGATTCTTCGGCCTGGATCCAAGCACGGGTTTGTTGATGGAAGACTGCGGTAAGGACCAGTAGTTTGATGGCATCTTGCTGAGGTAATTTCAACCTGAGAGCCCTTTCTGCGTCCTCCAGAGCTAGACTTGTATAACCTAAGCGTAGAAGCACTTGACTGCGACCATAGTAACTGTGAGCAAGGCTCCGACTTCCATGAGGTGCTAACTTGATGGCTGAAGTGTATAGCTCTAACGCTGCCTTGACGTCGGCTGATTCTGAGGTCGAGGCTGTGGTCTCTAGATAACACCTATCTCCCAGAAGCCGCAAGGCCTCTGCTCGTGTTTCACATTTACCAGAGAAGTCATCTGTCACACAGAAGTCTTGGAGTTGAGGTAATGCAAGGATCTTTTCTGCTCGTTGCCTGTCACCTTGTAACCTTGCAAACGTTGTCAGGAAGTCTTCCTCACTTCTAGCAACCTGCCAAACAATGTCCAGCAAAGAATCGAATGCGGACATCTGGGAACATAAAACAAGGCTTGAATGAATGACAGACGTTATATAGCCTCCGCACCGACCACACAGAAAACACAGCATCTATTGTTGAAACGTGTTTACCGAACCATTGCAAGGCAACGGTCGCGGCACGGACTCCATAGAAAGGCAGTCACATGATAGATATCTCGCCAGTCCATTGGCGCGCTGACTGTTGCCTAGCAACGAGTTATAAATATTCGTCCTCTTGTTGAGTGCGCTTACGCGAAGAGGTGTTTATCGCGACGTTGCATAGCTATACACATTACATTATATATAATTATTGTAGTACCCTGCTCACGTGTACTGTAACGGTGACTTGTACGAATGGACGTCATTTGTAACGTAATTTTGCAACAATTCTGTAATAATTCTACATTTTGGATACACAGTTCTAATTTTAAGTTCAGTGTGAAACTGGCGGTCGCTCACAGTGGCCGCGCGGTCTAAGGCATGAACTGTCCTCGCTCACCCAAACATTGCGATCGTGGGTTCGAATCCTACTTCAAGCATGGATGTCTGTGTACGTTAGTTCTGTGTTTGTAATAAGTAGCGGCCTTGCGACGGGCTGATCCCCCGTCCAGGAAGTCCTACCGACTGCAGTAAATGTTTAAGAAACTGAAAAAGCGGCCAAGGTAAAAAAAAATGTCTGTAGAGGCTTAGGTAGATGAGACTGGCCATTAGATTAGCCATTATTAAAGAAAATTAATTGCTGTTTTGTGAGAATACGTATATTGAAACCGGGTGATCATCTTCAAGGTTAAAACATATAGTTATATCTAATAAGACTGTGTGCATGGTTTTTATTACTTGTGAGTAAGGTTGTTATGCGGGGCGGCGTTTTGTCATCTTGAGTGAAACGAGAATGCGACGACCGTGTTACACCACTTGGCTATCTGGCAGTCACAGACGCATCCGGCAGTGTTGCGAGTCAGCAAAAAATCACGCATGCGCATGAAAGTCCCTTCTACCACTTCGCTCAGTTTCCCCGCTCCTCTGGCCATTACGTATAGCGGAAAAAAATAAAGTCGGATACTTTTTGGACATACGGTATACACATATGTATTAATGTAGTGCAAATTAAAATCACTCAGATAAGAGCCTTTAGGAATAACCGCAAGATTTAGACCAATTATAATATTCTAAGTAACTGATACAGATTAATAACAGTACTGCATAAGGATAAATATTAAGTCCAACCATTTGTATGGTTAACGTTACCTGGCCTATGGCTACACAGCGCATGATTTAAACGTTACAGAATTTGACTGCTGTTATTAAAAGTGACAGACTATTATAATAGTGAGAATAGGTCGTTTCAGAGCGCTGGAAATCTTACGAGGAGCTTGGAGTGATGGATGCGAGGCTGCTTATGATAATTTATGCGACAGCACGTGAGAAGTATAATACACATAACAGAACACCTGCTCGCTTCAGTGGAATTCCATGGTACACGCCAGGAAGAACGAGATAACTATCTCATTATGCCTTACGCAGAAAGATATTTAAATGTAAATATCATGTACTGCGTTCAGATATCGTTAAACCTTTTCAACGCACAATGCAGCTAACCCTTTAAAGCACCGTGGTTAATATGTATATCAAATGTAAGAGAATACAGAAATAGACTTCTCACTGGTTGAATATTTTTAAATGTGGTGGCCTCTGTGGTCTAGTGGTCGGAGTTCCTGGCTACAGAGGTCCGGGTTCGATTCCCGGCGTTACCAGATTTATTTATGAGAAGTACTGGGTCTGTAACGGTTTCCACCCAGCCTCGTGACGATAATTGAGGAGCTATTTCAAGGAAATAGCGGCTCCGGTCTAGAAAACCGAGATTAAAGGCCGTGGGGATCCGTTACGCTGACCACATGACACCCTCTATCGTCTAAAGTTGGCACTAACTTCGCCGACAAGCAGCGCTCGGTCGGTATAGTTCGCTTGCGGACTAAAACCGCGGAGTTTTTTTTTTGTTAAATGGAAGAAGATGAGAAATTACACACTTCGTAAATTAAGTTAAGCGTAACGCCTGGAATATGAATTTGACGCAGTCTTCCATAAATTCGAGACAGGAAGGAGTTCTCCACGAACCGCGCAGTGCGTTGTGCTCTGGCAATATGTGTCATATTCTGTATGAATAAGAGATCTAAAGTTATCCCTGTGAGAGGCCGTGTAGGCCTATAGGACTGTCAGATGTCGAGGCTTCCACATTTTCTACATAATCAGCTCACGGATGGTGGTGAGATTGTCAGCCTTACGCACCGGCAGCCCTTTTACCCCCTAGGAAAGTTCCTGGTACTCATTTCTGTTAGAGGCTGAGTCAACCCCAGGGCCATAGTGCAGCTGGAATGATTAGGTCAACTGATCGGGAACCGTACCCGCGACCTTCCAGCTTATAGCATGGTGCCTCTACCAACTACTCTACCGCTACAATATCGGCATTAGAGATGTAAATTAAAAATATACATCTGTCCCTATGCGTAAGTACCGTTCGTGAGGATGCAATGTGCAGTAGTACCAGGGATTCGCTTATTAATTAATCTTAGACATTAACGGAGGTTAGTGGCCACTCCCCGGCGGCTTTGTCCACAAGGAAAGATTAATAACCAGCGGTTAGGAAGGTAAAGGAATCGCAGAGCCGGTAAAGAAAGGAAAAGACGTTGCGTCTGATTGGGATTGTAATTACGTGAGTGCGGAATGCATTGTGAAAGAGCCAGGTCACCTCTAGTAAAATATTTATTAATATCTTTGTCATTGCAAACCTGTGACGTTAACTAACCCTCCCGTTATATAAGTGAGTAGATCGAGAGAAAGTTCTGATTCTCGAAATTATTGAGTTTCTCGTCTTTGTCCGTTGTCTTGTATTCTGTAGAGTACTTACTTACTTACTTACTTACTAGGCCGCGCCATAGCTCAAACGGTTAGTCGCTGGCTTCCCATCGCGGCGGCACGGGTTCGATCCCGGGTCTGGTCAAGTGGGATTTGTGGTGGACAAGGTAGAGCTGGGGTAGGTTTTCTCCAAGTATTTCGGTTTCCCCTGCCAATCTTCATTCCACCAATTGCTCCACAGTCACCCTCACCTATCATTTGGGGCTGGTACAATAGGCCAGAAGTGGCCGCAGTGCAAGGGACTTAGTCCCACCCCACTAGTAATAAAAAAATACTCATGGAGCTGAGCCCTTTTTGATAAGAAGCCAAATCTGCAGCTACTGAAGAATTTGCCAGCATTTTATGGAACCTGAAGGTTCATTACCGGGTTCACAAGAGCCCTCCAATGGTCCCTATCCTCAGCCAGATCAATCCAATCCATCCCATCCCATCCTATCCTATCTCTCTAAGATCCCTTTTAATATTGTCCACCCACCTACGCCTTGGTCTTCCTAATGGTCTCTTTCTTTCTGGCTTTCCCACCAATATCCTATATGCATTCCTCCTCTCCCCCATTCGTGCTACATGCCCTGCCCACCTCATCCTCCTTGACTTGATCATTCTAATTATACTTGGAGAAGAGTACAAGTTATGAAGCTCCTCATTATGCAGTTTTCTCCAACCTCCTGTCACTTCATCCCTCTTCGGTCCAAATGTTCTCCTCAACACCCTGTTCTCATATTCCCTCAGTCTATGTTCCTAATGTCAGAGACCAAGTTTCACACCCATACAGAACCACAGGCAATCTGCAGAGCACTAGACGCTGGATAAAGTGAACAGCTGCACAGTGCTGAGTTTTGTACACCGTTTCCAGAACCCTTTAGCATTAAGATTCTGATTAACGGGGTTTGTTGTATTACTTTCTCTCTCTTTTTTGGGGGGGGGGATCCTGGCAACATGTTCAATTTAATAGTAAAATTAATAAATATTTTTCTTGTTGATTTTTCTTTATCAGAATTCGGTGTAGCTGACCAGTTCATATCTCCTTGAAATAGGTCACTTACTCCTTGATAAGTGATTTTCGCCAGGTTAAGAACCGCTCTTAACCAGCAGACAATATCAATTCTGAATGCTTAATGTCTGCTTCTCATTTCAAAGAGCAAAGTACATTTGTGTTATTAGAGTTCTTGTGATTGCGAAAGGAAAGGCGGAGCACTACCAATAGTCTACTGTGTTCTGTTTTTGTTGTCTCTCATGTTTCTGACAGCTATCTAATAAGAGAAATTGGTTTCCCGTCAACTTCCGAAGACAGGAGGAACTAGTTGGTTGCCCAAGGACTTACAGGTTGAAGAAATTATGGTAGTTGTACTCGCGGGAGGTTCAATTTACCTTGATTGTCTTTGTGACCTGGGAGGCACGAGACAAGACGGGTTCACGCTTCAAACTCTGAAGTTTATATTCAGAATGAAAGCACGGATAGACCATCTCTGACGTGGAAATGGAAAATCGTGCCTAGGATGATTTTTGTAATATGATTTTGATGCATTGCAGAAAACTTTCGCACTTTTTCTATTGCATTATTTTCGTTCTTTTGTAACTGTTATTGTATTGCACAGTGTTCTCTGAGCTCACTCATGGCTGCTACACGAAATTAATATTAAAAACTTTCAGTCATAACGGCCAAGCACAAACACAAATTAAACACACACAAATATAATAATTTTAAAAATACCGTGTTCTGGAATATATTCCGTGTCCTGTAGTCCGCAAGCGAACTATACCGACCGAGCGACCGCCGCTTGTCAGCGAAGTTAGTGCCAACTTTAACGGATAGAGGTCGCGTGGTCAGCGCAACGGATCCCCACGACCGTAAATCTCGGTTTTCTAGACCGGAGCCGCTATTTCCTTGAAATAGCTCCTCAATTATCCTCGCGAGGCTGAGTGGACCCCGTTCCAGGCCCACTACTTCTCAGAAAATCTGGTAGCGCCGGGAATCGAACCCGTGATCTCTTGATCTGTAACTAGGAACTCTGACCATTAGACCACAGAGGCGGTCGTTCTTGAATATAACGGTGTAAAATTTCGTATACAACACAGAACACCATATTCTTAATATTGAC